AGCCCGACAGCGCCTTCCCCAACCTGGAGGTAAGCGGGGGCTGCTGGTCGAGGGTGAGGAGCTGAGGGGGAATGGGGCTTGTGGTGCCTGCAGGGGCCTAGGGGGATAGTGGAGACTCAAGGTTGTGGGGGGGGCTCTTGGGATCTATGGGGCCTGAGGTTTGTGGTAGGGTCAGAGGGCACTGGAGGTCGCAAGGGCACTGGGGGGGAAGATATTTGGGGGGCTCTGAGGGTCAGCAGGGCCTGAGGGTTGTGGTTGTGGCACAGAGTGTTGGAGACTGCGCAGTGGGGGGGCAGAGATTTGGGGGGCTCTGAGGGTCAGCAGGGCCTGAGGGTTGTGGTTGTGGCACAGAGTGTTGGAGACTGCGGGAGCAGTACAGGTCTGCTGAGGTCTCTGGGGGTTGGGTGCCTGACTGAGTCTTTTTCTCTCCCCCCGCACCCCTCACCCCAGAGTGCCCTGACAGGGGCCCCATCCACCTTGGTGCTTCCAGCTGTGCAGGGCATGGCTGCTGCAGGCGTCCTGGGGCTTCTGAAGGAGAAGCTGGGGCTGAGCCCCCTACACGTGGAGCCAGGTACCCTGCGGGAGCTGCGCCTCAACGCCAGCGTGCCCACCCTGCGGTACGTACCCTCGCCCCCATTGCTGCTGCTGCGCTACATCATTGGGTACCTACCCCACGCCCTCTCACACCCTGCCCAGGTTCCCCGCCCTGCCTGCTGGCCTGGCTTCGGGCGCAGCTGCCTGCATCCAACCCCTGGCGAGTGTGGATGCCATGTGTCACGGAGTGGGAGGAAGGCCTGCACCTCCACACACAGCCAGATGTGAGATTCAGCCAGCAAGCAGGACAGAAAGTTTATTCGTTGACAGGGTCACAGTGTAGCACAGACTTGTTGTTACAGAAACAGTCAGTACAGCCTATCTTGGGGCAAGGGAACCCAGAGCCAAGCTCCCCAGGCCAGCTAGACTTCCCCCTCTGACACAGTCACTACAGAGCAGCACAGGACAGTTGGAATCACACACAGCATTACAAAGTAAACAAGGAACACAAAACCAGAGTGAGCGTGAGAGTGAACACAGTCCCCACTAGGTCACACAGTGGCTGGCTGAGTTGGGGAGACGCAGGCTGGATGCCGGGGCATGGGCATGGGCCTGCCATGGGGGTGGCAAGGGTGTGATGCCTCCCAGTGACATTCTGCTCTTTGTCCTTAGCTCCAGCCTCATGGCCCCGAAGGAGGCGCTGACAAGTAATGGTGAGTCTGTCCCCCCAGGCCCCGTGGCTGGCTCTGCTGCCCCGATGTTTTTCCCTGCCGCAAGGACCTTGGCTTCCCTGACTGGCTCTGTTCCCTCTGTGCAGTTCTCCAGGGCCGGGTCCTCTAGAGTCCTGCCCCCCTAGGCTGGGTCTGCCTGCTCAGGCCCTCAGCTTCCCCTTATTGGTTCTGCTCCCACCCTCAGGCCCCTGATTGCCCATGGTTGGGTCCCCCTGGAGTCCTGTCTCCTCCCCCCCTTTCCCACCACAGCTGAGGGAGGGTCTTGATGGGCGGGAGGAGGGGGTTCAGTATCTCTGTCCCAGGGTGGGCAGGGCTGTTACCCCTGACGTTTCTCCCCCAGATGAGATCATCGGGCAGGTGCTGAGTGCCCTGAAGGATGAGGACGTGCCCTACACGGCATTGCTGACAGCCGGGGGCCCGTCACGGGTAGGTCCCTCTAGGCCACCCCTGAGCTGAATGAAGGTCGTTCCATGCACCAGTTTGGCAGCCGTGTGAGACACACCATCTCTGTCTCGGCGTACAACTGCTGGAGCCAAGGGGCTTGGGATGGGGCAGAGGGGAGGTTGTGGGCTCTGGGGAGTGGGCTGGCTTGAGGGACGTGGGGTGCAGGAGTGTGTTCCAGAACTGCTGCCAGGAGAAAGACCTCCCCCAGCGCGCGCTCTCCCTGCCTTGGCTGCTCCTGTATAGGGGCCCAGAGGGAGCAACTCCCCAGGCTACAGCAGGGTTCTGGGTGGCACTTAATAGGCAGCTGCATGGCCATGCAGCTAATAGGGGGGGCTTCATGGTCCCCCCCGACACCCCTGAGCTCACTCCTCCTTCCTAGGTTCTCCGGGATGTCACTGCGGTGGCCCCTGAGGGGGTGGGCCGCCAGCTGCTGCAGAAGGCCAGCACAGTGCCAGAGCAGCCCCCGCCAGTGCTGTACCCCCAGACCGGCGTGCCCCAGATCCTCTTCTGGGCCCGCAACTTCTCAGTGGGTCAGGGCAGCAAGTGGGTGGACCTGACGCCCTTGACATTCGGGACAGAGGCTTCTGTGGATGTGAGCAGCTCATTCTGGAACTCCACTGACTCCCGGTGAGAAGGACTGTGCATCGGGAGTGGGGGAGACAGGGCTGGGGGGGGGGGAGGGACGC